AGAACAAGATCGGAAGTTAGGTGGCGGGGGGGAGCGGGGGTGGGGGCCCCCCCCACACCCCCCCCCCCCCCCCCCCCCCCCCCCCCCGGCCCTCCCGGCCCCCCCCCCCCCCCCCCCCCCCCCCCGGGCCTCCCTAACTGGCTTTCGGCACAGTCACTAGCTTGTCTTAGACATTATTTGTGGCTCCATAGTTTGTCCCTTCCTCCTTTCAGTGCCCTGGACCCCAGCTCAGCTCTGCGCAGGATGGGGCTCTGTGTGTGGCCGTGAGGAGGAGGCTCGTCTGGCCCTGTCAGGCGGCACTCTGAGGTCAACACGACCATCAGGGAGGACACTGGGGTGGCATGGAGGGTGAGGTTGCTGGCAGCCAGCCTTGTCTCTGGGTCCTTAGGCTCTGTAAGTGAGGAGAGGTCGGGAGAGTGTCCTGATCCCCCTGGCCCGTCTATCACTCATTTCCAAAGCTTTCCCCAGGAGGGAGCTCAGAGGCCATGGGCATAGTGCAGAGGGAAAAGAACCAAGCGTGTGGGAGGGGCTAAGTCTTGACATCCCATGGTGGTGGGTCCTATGGGTCTTCTCCATCCATTGAATGCTGAGGCCTACGCGTAGTGCACGTGCTGTCCACAACACGGAGAGGGGCTTGCCAACGTGTCATGCACAGGCGTTCGGTGTGAGTTGTGTACAGTGTCATGTTGCATCCACAGGCCGCTTTCGTCTCATGTACGTGAGGTTTCCCCACGAGCGCGGCGCCTTCACTGCTGTCCCTCACTGCAGCCGTCGAAGGCTGCCGTGAATCCCTTACTCTTCACACACACACACACACACACACACACACACACACACACACACACGAGCAGGTGAGGCATTTTGATCCCTAGAGTGCCAACAGTCAGTTTATTGGAAGCAGACAGCTCAGCCCTCAGAGAGAACTTGAACCCCAGGCGAACAGGATGTGTAGATCAGCCATGATTTCCCCCTCTCTTAGACCCCAAACGAGCCTCCAAGAAACTGGGGCAGCCCCACACCACTGAACCGGTGCCTGTGCTCCTATTTGCCTTGGGACCTGGAGCTAGAGATGCTGAATGAGGGTGCGGGAAGCAGCGGCTGTGGATAGAGGTAGACAGGCCTTGGGTGCAGCCCCCAAGACAGCTCTCCATTGTCTGAGCATCAACTGTGCCACAGGCTCTTGGCTTTGCTCTTGGCCTGTCTTACCATCACCAAGAACGGTATTTTTTTTTTTTTTTAGTTTGGGCTCGACATACTACCTACCCAAAGATCATTCTTGAGTCCCAGTGCTGGGAAGGTACCGGCAGTGCCCAGTGCCCGCAGCTTAGATAGGATGTGGGGACTCTCCTTTTGATATTTATAATAGTGCCTGCTATGAATTCAGTTTGGTTTTTTTTTAGGCGTTTGAGAGCTGGAGGGAACGGGGATATGGAGGGAGAGTGTGGGGTAGAAAGGGCAGGACCGGCTTTGTGAGGAAAGTGGCATGTTGCCTTTTACAAAACAGAGCCGTAGTCTGCCCACCGGCCTTCTCTCCTGGGGCAGACGTGCTTAGACTAGGGTTGACTTGCTACTCCAGGTGACGGGACCGCGCAGCCCCCTTCTCTGGACCCACAGACTCCGGGTCCAGTGCGGGCTCTGCATCCAGCTGTGTGACGGGAGGCTTTGAAGATTAGAGCGGGGCTGAGAGCTCCCGGGGGTATCCTAGGGCAATGCGAAGCTGGTGTGGGAAGGGGGAGTTCTGGAATATTCTGGTCTTCATCCCTGGGGAGGGGTGCCGCCAGGGTTTCCAGACTCCGAGGTAGCGCTGACACTATGACACTAGCAGCCGCATGAGTTGCCACCCGCCCCCATCTTCATGCTGGAGCTCCGCCCGCTCCCACAGCTCAGGAGCCCTTGGGGCTCACAGGGGACGTAGAGCTCCCCGTTGCCCACCACGCTGCAGCCGGCACTGCTCCTCAGGGCGCCCGCGGACCCAGCGCAGTACTCGGTCCTCAGCATGGGCGTGCCCACCACGCAGGGCTCATAGAGGACGGCGCCCTTGGAGCTGCTGACAGCTGCGGGGACAGGAAAGCTGGCTCAGGGCCCCACGCGCACCGCCCCCACCCTGGACCCCCAGCACTGCCACCCGCCTCCAAAGCCTGTCACGTCAGCACCGACTTCCCAGGCTCCCCATCTGCTGACATCCAGAGCTTGGGCGCTCCCCGTTCATTCACCCCCTCTTTCCCTGGAGCCTTGGTGAGGCGTGATGCCCCTCTCAATCTCCTTTCACCTCGCACCTCTATCCTGGCCCCGCTGCCAACCCTCCAGCAAAGCTTATCATCTTGATAAGGTGGTGACTTGGGTGGACAGCCCTGCTGGATTTTCTCTGCCCGCCCAGGACGTGTGGCAGACAAGCAAGCGCTTCCCTTGGGGGTGTGAGAGGCTCCCGAGGGCAGGGTGGATGCGATAGGCTTTCTACCTTGGTTAATCAAATACCGAGACCCAGAACCCAGGATGCAGGCATGACCCGGCTACTTACAGATATTCACAGGCCCGATGCCTTCACACAGCCTGGAGAAGGAAGGGAAGAGAGATGAGGTGCCCGCTTTGACGAGAACCCTGCTTTCTGCCACCACTGCGTAAGCGGGAAGGAGGACTTCGCTGTTCCCCACCACTGTGGGATGGTGACAGCAGCAGCCGCCCTAGGGACCCACCCTCTACTCAGCTCACCTGTGCTCCTCGCCCTCCAGCAGGCGCCTGTAGGTGGCGATCTCGATGTCCAGCCCCAGCTTGGAGTTCATCACCTCCTGGTACTCCTTGAGCAGGCAGGCCATGTCCTGCTTGGCCTTCTGCAGGGCCTCCTCCAGACCCGCTAGCTTGCACTTGGCGTCGCTGAGGGCGGCCTCACCCTGCTGCTCTGCCTGGGCAATGGCCCCCTCAAGTTTGCATCTCTGGGGAGAGGGCACAGGAAAGTGTCACTGGGACTAGACAGGCAGAGGAACACGTGGTGGTTCCTGCAGCACCTGGCTCATTAAAAGTTCTCTCCCTCTGGGGAGAGCTGACACTATCTGTTTGGATGTGCTCAGCTGCTGTGGCGGGGGTAGGCAGGACTGGGGTTGTGGCTGTAGATGGAAGTGTCTGGCTAGTTTTCACTAGCCTAGGAGAATTGAGGAGGTCTAATTCTGCGAACACCTTAGCGATGTTGAAGGTCAGGACCCCAGGGGCAGAGCCCAGGTTTAAAGTCTACTGCCTTGCTACTTCTGAGGCAGCGGGCCGCCTGACTGTGCGGTCTGCTCGTGTAGCTGGTAGGCAGCTCGTAGGGAGAGCTTGCTTTCTGTGAGACTAGGTGGTCTCTGTTCAACCCTGCTCACCGCCAAGGTTTTCCCTGCCCTGCGTGGCCCAGCAGGGAGGCGGCCCTCTGCTGGGTTCTCCCAGCGCTCAGGGGCCTCACCTGGCCTTTGACCTCTGCTGGGTTCTCCCAGCATTCAGGGGCCTTACCTGGCCTTTGACGGCCTCAATGTCCTGCTGCAGACGCTGGATCAGCTTGTTCATTTCCAGGATCTCGTTCTTGCGGTTGCGTAGGTTGTCACAGTGGTTCCCAGCCGTCTGCCTCAGCTCCTCATACTGCAGGGACAGCGAAGTGAGACCCCAGGCCCTCGCTATGGCAGCTCTTGGCCCCTTCCTCACTGTCCCCGTCTCTTCTCTTGGAGCTTCCTGGCTTCAGTGCTCATGCCTGCACCATCCCGCTTTCCATTCCTCTCCAGTGTCCGGGCTTGTGTGGCTCCCCTCATCCTACGTCACCCAGCCCTGACTCTCTGTCCCCTAGATCACTTCTTTTGTATCTGGTCCCTTCTTCCCTGCCCAAGAGCCTGAGCTCTCCTGTGGGGCTATTTTTGCTTTTTCAAAACTGTTCTGTTGGACTTTAGAAGGATTGTATGTTCAACCTGGGTTGGACAGTCAAAACATAATGTGAGGTCTTGCTTTGACTGACTTAAAAACCAATCAAATGAACATCAGAGAGCAGATGCAAAGTGTTGCTTGTTTTTAAGTAGGCCGCCCTTCCCCTGCTCTCTGCTCATTCGCATCACGGGACCTTTGAGTGCAGGTCAAATGTCAATGCTCCCTCTTTTCCAGGCTCCATTTGCTACCCGTCTCATCACCTGCACAGACCTACCGCTTGGCCACAGACACGGATGAGTGCTCCCGTGTGGCTGAGTGTGGCTAGGCCCATGTTTCCCCAATAGGATCTAGATCCCTTCAGAAAGACAGAGACAGACAGACAGACAGATAGACATATCCTGGTGCTACCTCCTCCTTCTCCCCCTGCTCCATTTAAAGCCACACTCCTCAGCCCTGTGGGTCACCCTCCCTCATCCTCCTTGTGACTATGTGTGTCATCACCTGACACCCCTCCCCCAATCTGGTGCTCTGGCATGTTCATTGCCAGCCCTTGGCTCGGCCTCTAAGAAGGAAGCTGACAAGGAGGCAGGGTTGCTGGCTTTCCCAGTCCCTGCCACATCTGCAGCTCCATGCTCTGAGAGTGGCCGGTGAGCAATGCTCAGTGAACAGTGCTGAGTGTGGGAGCCACGCACACTGCATTGCAGAGACAGGGCTCTGAGGACCAGATGACAGGATTTGTTAGATCCCGCTGCCCCAGGGCTCCCCTTGCCCTCCCAGCAAGTCCCTAATTACTAAGTCTGGGGCACCCGTAATCACTGTTTCTGCTCCAGCTCCAGTAACACCCAAGCCAGCGGCCTCCACCTACACCGGGAGGCTCAGGGCCCTCTCTGCCATTAGCACCAATTATCCTGATTGCATGCTGCTTGGAGAGCCACTCTAGTGAGTCTGTGGATAAACAGAGCCGGGACGTGGCACCCGGGTGACAGGGCTGGCCTGTTTCTGCGGTGCAGAGACCTCACCCGGCAGAAACAACAGAGCTTAGGTTCTTTGGAGCTGTAGAGTGGCCCAGACTTGTTAGGTCTTTAGCCCTTCTTAGGGCACAGAGCACCCAGACCCCGTCTCCTGCTGCTCCCCCTCCTCTGCTCGGATGTCTCACCCCAGCCCCAGCCCTGCCCGTCTGCACCCCAGCCTCACCCGGCACTGGTACCAGGCCTCGGCTTCTGCCTTGCTGCGGCTGGCGATGTCGTCATACTGGGTCTTGATCTCGGCTATGATGCCGTCCACGTCCAGGTCCCGGCTGTTGTCCATCCTGACGATGACCGAGGTCTCAGAGATCTGAGACTGCAGCAGGCCGATCTCCTGAGGGGGTCACCCAGGAGTGAGCCCTGAGGGTGCAGCTGTGAGAGGAGCCTGCTGGGGCCTCTGAGGACTTGTTCCTCCTGCCCTTCCCGGCCCGCAGCCCCCATCCCGTCCTTGTCCCTCGTCCCTGTGGTGACCCAGAGTCTCGAGGGGAGACCTGACAACCACCGGCCTGGAGAGTCTGCCTTTGAGGAGTCTCACACCTGAGTGCAACAACACAACCTTCCAGTGATCGCCTTGGCTCTCCTGCCCACCCTTGTCCCTCTGGAACTGGCCGGCCGGTCACCCAGAAGACCTGGTGGCTGTGAGTACCTCCTCAAACAGGGCTTTCAGGAACTCGATCTCATGTTCAAGAGCCTCCAGGTTGGTCTCCAGGTCAGCCTTCACCAGGAAGGCCGTGTCCACATCCTGCAACACAGTGACGGAATCATGACCTGGAGCAGGAATGCCCAACAGCAGCCAGCACTCCTTGGTCAAGCTGATGGCAGGGACAGCTGTGGGCCCGAGCTCTTCTCTGAACCCAGGTGGAGGCCAAGGGAGATGGGAGCATGGAGGAGGAAAGGCCTGGGCCTGACCCCGGGGGCAGGGTGTGGAAGGAGCAGGGCTGGAGGCTCCCCAGAGCTTCTTGGCAGAGGAGTCTGGAACCATGTAGTTCCCAGCTGAGGACCAGGACAGTTGTTCCTCTGCCCGGGGTTGACTTGGCATTAGCCATGTGGCAGGCAGCTGCTTGGGCAGGTGGATTCACTGTCGTTCCCCAGCTCTGACCCTGTGTAGGCTGGGGATGGGCACTGTGTGGAGACCAGGCCAAGCCCTGTTTCTATGCAGGCTGGAGCTGAATGGGATGTCAGGCTTTCTTCTTTCCCAGGGTCAACGGGGCCACACAAGCGAACAAAGGAGAGGAGCTTATTGGAGGGAGTGGGCTTGGGGCATGGTGGGCACAGCACCACGAAGGGCTGGTATCTGGGTTCTCTGCTTCACCCTCCACCTCACCTTCTTCAAGGTGACAAACTCATTCTCAGCACAGGGCCGCAGGGACAGTTCCTCTTCATACCTGTGGGAAGGCGGAGCGTTGCCTCAGTTAAGGTGTAGGGTTTGGAGAAGGCTTCTTAGCAGGTGGGTGCTCCGGCTGTGCCTGGGGCCCCATGTCTGAGCCTTCTCTCCAGACCCTTATAGCTCCTTCCCCCTGCGGACAGACGCTTGTCACTGGAACGTCTCATAGTTATCTTTCAGCCTACCCCTCCCCACTGACAGTAGCCTGTCAGTGAAGATCCAGCCCCTGGGATCCTGGGGTCCTTTCTGTGGAGGGAGAGCCCCTCATTTCCCATCAGAAATGGGAGACAGGTCAGGCCACCGGAACGCCATCTTTCCCAGGTTGTTCTGAGTGTGGCTGTAGTCCAGGGAGATTCCCAGCTGACCCCTTGCCGCTTCCTTGCCCACAGGGTATGCCTTCCCCCACCTGAAGGCCTGTGGTAGAGGTAGCAATTACAGCCAGGGTGCCTCCCTCCCACTCTCTGGGGGCCCACACGCTGTACCCAAGGCAGAGGGGATGGGAGTCGGGGTGCCATCTGGCTACAGTGACTGATGAGCAGAGCCAATCTATGGACCCCCCCCATGCTCCTGGCAGGGAGGGAGGTCTGGAGCTGCTGCCCAAGTTTGAGTCCCCGCTCCATCACACACTAGACATTACCAAACCGGGTGGGTTTGGTAACTGATGGCTTTTTTGACAGGGTCATCCCCAATAGAAGGGGACAACCTGCCTTCCAGGGCTTTTGTGAGTTAGCTGACTCCTGCGAGGCCCATAACAGTGAGCTGGCTGGGGCGAGTGTGGCTCACGAGTTTGCCATCAGTGTGCCAGAAGGGCCTCATCTGAAGCCACATATCTCATTCTGAGCTGAAACCAGTCTAACCTTGCCTTGCTTTGTATTTCCCAGGAACGAATTGCTCCTCCATGCCTGGGCTCTGCCCGTTCCCACACCTGCCAGTCAGCCACCTGCTCTTCCCTCCCTCCATTTTAAAACTCTACTCTGGCCTTTAATTAATTTAAAAAAGATTGAGACAGAGTCTTACTCTGTAACCCTTGAACACACTACATGGCTCAGGCTAGCCTAGATCTCAAGATTCTCCAGTGTCAGGCTCCTGAGTACAAGATATGAACTGCCGTACCAGGCTTTGGGTCTCGTTTAGGAGAAGGGGTAGAATGGAAGAAAAATTGTCTGTCAAGGTCATGGTGCAAACATGTCCCGTGTCCCTGCCCCCTGTGTCTTCTCTCTTCTGCTGTTCTCCATGGTACCTGCTCACATGTAAGTGTAAAGATGCTGTGGGGTGGGGACGGGGCGGGGGCAGCACTTCCTCCCACAGTGCTTGTCACCAAGAAGGCCAGTGGCTGGTGCTTAACAGTCACTGGTTCTCCAAGTCCCACACTCCCATGAGGGTCTGAGCAGACCCACCCATAATCCCCCAGGAGTCAAGTACTCAGGCCTCCTGCAAGCTGGGGCTCTCCTTTTCATTCCCACCAGCCACCTACTTCACACAGAGGCAGGGCCTACCGCGTGGGGAGTGGGCGGGATGGGCCATCAGCAGAGGGTCCACAGTCCCTCTAGGGGAGGACAGGGAAGCCAGATGTGAGGAGACAGAAAGTGTGAGTGGTGGCCTCTGGGTGGGAATGGGGGAGAAGCCTGAGAGGAGGCTCACCAAAAGGAGAGGGAGAAGACACAAAGGCCTGGAGGACAGAGCCTTGGGGGTGGCCAGGGGTTAGGGTGTGGTTCTCAGTGTGGAGAGGACTGTCGAAAAGCCGAAGAGGAATGCAGTTGGAGCTCCATCAGGGCAGTGAGAGAGCGTTGTAAAAGCCCTCGTTCAAGCCAGGCGGGAGAAGGGAGATGGAGCAAAGACACAGCCCAGGGCTTCCGTCCACTGTGGGTAATGACGTGGCTGCTCTGTGCCACCTGGTTGTTTTGTGGACGGGGAAACTGAGGTCTGACTTGTTTCTGCAGCTTGCTCTAGTCCCTTTGTGGGGTGAAGGCAGGGTCCACTTACTTTTTCTTGTAACCCTCCAGCGCATCCTGGAGGCTGCGGAGCTCAGCCTCCAGCCTCCCTCGCTCCCCTGAAACGCAGTCCAGCTGTCGCCGCAGGGCACAGATGTAGCCCTCAAAGAGCGGCTCCATGTTGCTCTGGCAACTCCTCTGCTGCTGCATAAAGTTCCACTTGGTCTCCAGCAGCTTGTTTTTCTGCTCCAGGAACCGTACCTGCCCCAAGAACAGGTGTCACCGATCACAAAGGACCAGGAGACCATGCTTCCTAATCGCCAGAGACCAACAGCCCAAAGGGTGAGTCTTTTGTCTGTTTCCTTCACTGTAGGGACCTTAAAGGACTCCCGCCTCCTCTCAGTGGTCCATGTTGGGGTGGAAAGACTGCTGCCCTCAAACGCCTGGGCAGTCCGCACGCTCTCTGCCTGGCCGTTTGGTAGCCCTGTGACCCCGACCTCCTCCCCTAGTGAGACCGTCCTTGGGGTCTCCAGAAGCAACAGGGCAGGGCTTGGCATGGGTCCTGGCTCCCCAGGGTGTGGGGACAACCCCAGGGGCTGGGGGCTGACAGGCAGCTCGGCGTTGCCTCAGCGTAGCATGTCACTCTGCCTTGTAGCTTTGCAAAGCTTTGGTTTTGGGGCTGCCAAGTGCAGGCCTTGAGGACGAGCCAGCTTGAGCCCTGAGTTCTGCCCCACTTTTGCCTCGCCCCTAACAGATGGGACACTTGGGGTTCACCGTGTTCCCTACCTTGTTGATGAAGGATGCGAATCTGTTGTTGAGGCACTTGATCTGCTCCTTCTCGTCCCTCTTCACCCTCTGCACCGTCGGGTCAATCTCCAGCTCCAGGGGGACCAGCAGGCTCTCGTTGATGGTGACTGGGGTGATGCAGGCCGGAGGTCCACAGGCGGCTCCCGCTCGGTACCCGAAGCCTGGCATGCCACATCTGGAGGCCACACGGGGCTTCCCGAAGCCCACATTGCACAGGCTCCGAGAGCCAAGGCAGCCCAGGGCTCGGAGGCCCCCACCGCCCCCGGGCCGGCAGGGCCCCTTGCTCACTTCATAGTGGGTGATCATCCGGGGTGTGACGGCCGAGCAGGAGCTGAAACTCCGGCTGCCACATCTGGAGCTCAGCTGGAAATTTCGGCATGACATGACTTGAGAGGCAGAGATTGATCCCGGAGAGGAGAACAGGGACCAGACTGACCAAATGGGGGCCCGGCTTCTCCCTTTTATCTGTGGGGGGCTGGCGGGCTGGATGGGTTCTAACCCCTAATCACTACTAAATCAGGTTTATGAGCTTGGGATATTGGCAGTTGCTAGGTCAAGGTGCATAATTAGGGTAGCAAAGGGCAAGGGGGAGCCAGTGGTCAACACTGGGGCGGGAGGCGAATCCCATAAAAATCCCATTTGTCCTCCTTTCCCTGTTTATAGAAATGATGAAAGGGGCCAACAGGGCACTTGTGGATGTCATGTCCAGTGGCTCAGCCTCCAGGGAAAGGGAAGTGAGACTTTGGGTTGCTCATAGAAGGGAATTTCCCTGAGATGGAGGGAAGCTGGATATTTTAAAGACTCTTTACCAGAGGGTTGTAGCAGCATCTTCCTATAGGCCCTTCCCTGAGCTCTGGGAAGCGCCCATGGAGGAAGAAGCTCCCATGGAGGAAGAAGCTCCCGAGGCTAGCCACGCCTGGCCCCGGAAATGGAAGCCCCTTTGTCCTGCACAGCTGCGTCACAGGGTCCTCCAGACACATACATGGACCCACACCGTTCCTCCATGCAGGCTGCAGGGGACACAGGAGGGACTGTCACCCTCTCCTACACTCTCGCTGCTGTGGGCATGGTCATGTGGGGTGTGCACTGTATTAGCGCCCTCCCCGTCGGAGACGAGACCCGAGCTGGGGTGTCTGTCCCAGGGAGCGTTCCTGATGGGTCCAAGCTTCCCTGCCCCCAGCGTGAGGACGTATCTGTTTAGAGATGCTCAAAGCCCCCTCAACCTCTCCACTCCTCTTTCTATGCACCTGATGGATGGGCCACATGGCCTTCCCTCTCCTGCTGAGATTAAGCCCATAGTATGGCAGTGTTGGTTGGGGCTCGGCTACAAGCCAAGACCATCCTGGGCCTTTTATGTCTATGACCTCACTGAGTAAGGAGCAGGGGAGTGGGGGGGGGTGACAAGGCTCAGATCGCACCCCCATTCTCTCTGCCCTCCTTGCTGTGCTCTGTAACTCTAGAGGATGAAGCCTGGGTTCAGGGCCTCAACCCAAGAGGCTCTGTATTCCTTGTCTTGCCACCTGCAGCTCGGCAGACCAGAACGTGAAGCTGTCTTGGGCCTTGGGAATCCTTGTCTAATTGGGCCATTTCATGCTGTCCTCTTAAGCTTTGGATCTGAGAGTGAAAGGTGTAACTAGAGGTGGGGTGATGTTGGGAGGCAGATGGTAGGGTGGGCTGGAGTATTTGGACATGGAGCGGGGAGTAATATTTTTATTTTGCTGGAAGGCCCAGGTGTGAAGTGTGCTGGTACTGAATGGACTGAGGACAGGGTGTGGGCTGGTACTGAGTGGACTGAGGTGTGAGAAGAGGGCTCCCTGGAGCCATGTGGGTGCCACAAAGCCACAGCCCTGTCACTGTCTCCAGGGCGGATGATTCTTGGGGCCCAGGGCTCAGGGCAGAGGGTACTCTGGTTCATCATTCTCAAGGAAGCATCTGTTCCCAGAGTTCCCGGTTCTGAGGTTCCCGCTGGGTATGAGACGCAACACACTTAGTGAAGACCTGGGATGCTCATGGCAGTTTATTGCAGCAATTCTAGGAAATAGGCAATCATGAAAGGAGTGGACGGCTCTGGAGGTTTGGCTGCTACCCCAAAGCTGTTAACTTTCTTTACACACAAGCACAGCAGCAGACAGACTAATTGCCTCTGGGAAGTATTTTGGTCTTGAACTCATAGTGGATATTTGAAGGCTCACCGCTCTTCAGACTAAACCACTGTGAAGACCAGGTTTCAAAAAATAAAAAAATAAAAAACCTTCCATGCAACTCCTTTCCTATCCCCTCACACTTCCTCTCTGCTATCTGGAGCGGGTGGGGGTATCTCTGTGGGGACCTGGCTGGAGGCTAAAGCCATTAGGTGTCAGGGCCTCTGGCTAGGGACTGCGGGCACGGGTTAAGCATCAGGCCTTAGCGCATCAGGCCTTAATGCCGAGACAGACAGCACTCTAGCTCCTGAAACTCTTCTTGCTGGATGACGTCTTGGAGACAATGCGCATGCTCGAGCAGCTGCCACTCACACTGCGACCGCTGGTGGAGCTAAAGCCGCCACTGCCTCCCCCGCCATAGCAGAGGCCACTCCCACCGCCGTAGCTGCCGCTGCTCAGGCAGAGGCCGCCAGCACCTCCGTAGCCTGTGCCCCCGGAGGAAGAGACCACAGCTGAGGAAAGAAGGCACGGGACACGCCGTCAGTTCCCAGGCTCCCATGCCCCTCTCCAGGCTGCCTCTCCTGCACAGTGCTGGGCTCCAGACAGCCCTCTCCCCAGGGGGCTCCGAAGACCTACAGCTGCCTCCTGAGGCAGCAGGAGCCAGGTGAGCCTGACTTCCGGGCTTCCCCTGGATGTCCAGGCCAAGTTGAGATGCCTGTTTTACTTGCTCAGCTAATTGACTTCAGTTCTATGTATAGGTCTGAAAGCTGCTCCATATTCCTGCCAGGACAGCTGAGGGCTGGGGACCCTGGCTGCAGAGAGTAGTCCTGTCCCATGCAGGCTCCTCTGAGGCCAGGCTGGGAGTGTGACCACATTACAACCATCCAGGGATAACAGGTCCTCTGCAGCACCCGAGGGCACCTTCCCAGAAGGAGAAAAAGGCCCTGGACTCCTTCCCCGGAGGCAGGGAATGGTCAGCGCTCTCAACACGCATGGGGAAAGAAACCGAAGAAAAGAGGAGAGGGGCTTAATGGCCTATTTGTCCTAGTTGTGCGTTTTCAAATCTCAGCGGTGCTAGGGCGTCCCATGGCGCCTCTCCTCCCCAGCCCTCTTCTGTCTCCCCAAGACGTTTACTCACAGATGTTCACGGCACCGACACCTTCTCCCGTGAGCCTGTGTAGGGGGAAGAGAAAGCTTGTCATTGCTGAGGCCTCAGAGCTCTGGGTCCTTTGATGTGAAGTCAGAGCTGAGCACACACTGTGTGAGAGCCTGTGTTTTTCAAGCTTGGCATTTATCTCATGAACTCTGGAAGCTAACAGAAACACAGACTCAAGTGAAGATACAGATAGAAACAGGAAGTGAGATCCTGAGAGCCAGAAGGCATGCAGGGGCCATGCACTGTCCCCGAGGCCGACGCCAAGGACACCTGTGCCTGTTATAAGGTCACAATGTCCCTGCTTGTGGCCTTCCAGGAGGCTGTGGCCACCTTGGCCTCCCAGGCTTGACCCTGGCCCAGGCCCAGAAGCCAATGTAGGAGGGAACCTCTGAAAGAACAGTGCGTGGCCTCGGCACCTGTCTGGAATTTCTGTGTAGGGGGATGGTAGTGAGCTCACATGGCCTCTAGCACACTGTCCTGCCTGGGCAGCACACTGTCCGTTCCTGGCCCCCACCTGCACTCCTCGCCCTCCAGCAGCTTGCGGTAGGTGGCGATCTCGATGTCCAGCGCCAGCTTGACGTTCATGAGCTCCTGGTACTCGCGCAGCTGCCGCGCCATGTCCTGCTTGGCCTTCTGCAGGGCGTCCTCCAGCTCGGCCAGCTTCTGCTTGGCGTCTTTGAGGGCCAGCTCGCCGCGCTGCTCGGCATCAGCGATGGAAGCCTGGAGAGCAGCACACTGCCCGCAGGGGAAAGAAGGGGTTTGTGTCTCTGTTCACAGAGCGCGTGTGGGTTAGATTAGCTTCCCTGAAACATGATATTGCAATGGAAGTCACAGAACTGTGTTGTTACCCCAGGGGCAGTGGAGGTCGCTGGATGAGAAAATGGCTTTCCGGGGTCTTTCTCTGGGCAGTGGGTAAGTACGTAATGCAAGACAAGCATGACCACGTGCTGCCCAGATGAACCAACCTGTGCCAGGCAAATACGTCTCCACCCCTGCGAGGCCCTTATCCCAGAGGCTCTCATCTACACTGATTGAGTTGAGGCCATGTACTGGATAGTTTTATGTCAGCTTGGCACAAGCTAGAGTTGTCTGAAAGGAGGGAGCCTCAATCGAGAAAGTGCCTCCACAAGATCTGGTCGGAAGACATTTTCTTAATTAGTGATTGATGGAGGCCCAGCCGTTTGTGGGTGGAGCCATCCCTGGGCTGTAAGAAAGCAGCTGAGCAAGCCACGAAGAGCAAGCCAGTGAGCAGCCCCCTCCATGGCCTCTGCCTCAGCGCCTGCTCCAGGTTCCTGCCCTGCTTGAGTCCCTGTCCTGACTTTCCTTGATAATGAGCAGTGATGCCGAAGTGTGAGCTGAATACACCCTTTCCTCCCCAGCTTGCTTTTTGATCATGGTGTTTCATCACAGCACTAGAAACCCTGACCAAGACAGACCAGACCCAAGTCTTCCAGACGCAGGAGCGTGAATGGGATGGCCTTTGAGAGTTCAGTCCTACCTGCTTCTTCAGGCTGTCGATCTCAGAACGCAGCCTCTGAATGGCCCGGTTGAGCTCAGAGATCTCCATCTTAGTGGTACGGAGGTCATCCCCATGCTGGCCAGCAGATCGCTGCAGCTCCTCATACTGGGAGAAAAGAAAGGCTTCAGGTGAGGGACAGTCAGGACCAAGGGGAGAGGGTTGTGACCCCTGCACCCTCCAGGCTCTTGGTGTCCTGCTTGGAGGGTCCTGTTAAATCTGTTGGCATCATATCTTGCTCTGGATTGCCTCTCCTTATCCACACACCTCAGCCAACAACCAGATGCCTGGGCCCTTGCTCCTTTCCCACTCCTGGCCTCTCCTCCTCAGCCTCTGCTCCATGCATCTCACCTTCCCAGACCAGCATCGCACACTTGGCATGCTTTACCATCTTCCTTCACATACATCTGTCATGGCACCAGTGGGTACTGTCACCGTGATTCCCAGTTCAGAGGTGAAATCTCGTTCTCTGATCCATAGTAAATCTCTGGCTCCAACCAGCTCCAGCTGGCTCTCTTTGCATCATCTGTCCTCTTGAAGGCATTAGACCTTGGTCTTGACCTCAGCCCCTCCCATTGGCATGGTGGCTGCAACTGACCACTTATACCTGTTTCTCTGATATGAAGCCTTGGGGGTGTATGCCATGGGTCCTGGAAGGAGACCTGGCACTTCTGCCTATATCTGACTATTCCCTTTGATCCTGGTGGTTTTAGCCCTGGGTAATGCTCCAAGTCAGACCCTTTGGTCCCCACCATGCTGGGACGCTGGAGAGGACAGGCTCTTACCTTATTTGTCTGTGAAACCTCTAGTCCCTGTGCCTGTTTAGTTGGTTGGATCTTGGCGCCTCACCTTGGTCTGGTACCAGGATTCAGCCTCTGCTCGGCTGCGGTTGGCGATGTCCTCGTACTGCGCCTTGACCTCGGCGATGATGCTGTCCAGGTCCAGGCTGCGGTTGTTGTCCATGGACAGGACCACAGAGGTCTCAGAGATCTGAGCCTGAAGCTGAGCCAGCTCCTGTGTTTGAGCCCAAAGAGGAGAGATGAGACAGAACGTTCCCGTATGCCCATACACATGTATGCACTTTTGGAGGTTTTTCTGCATGTGTGCTGCTGTGTGGATGCATGCATGCGTTTGCTTTGCAGATGGTGACCCCTTGGGATAGGCTCTGGCCTGTAAGGCCTTGCATTGCTCCTCACTCAGCGCTGAAGGGCTGGAAGGATATTTATGGGACCTCTGTGTTTACACTGCTCTTCAGCACCGATTCGTCTATACTGAGAGCGCAGCCCAGGTGACTCTAGCTAGAATTCTCCAGAAGCCACTCCTGGTGTCAGGGAGCCTGCTGCCTGCCAGCCATGTGATGTCTCACTCTTTGAATGATCCCAGCCCTTCACACCAGACAGAGACCGAACCGTGAGCAAGAAGCCCAACACAAAAGGCACCAGCACTGCTTTTCCCAGCTGTCCTGTGCTGTGCTCTTTAGGGACGGGGCACAAAGTTAGCTAGAAACAGCAGAAAGGGCACCAGAGAAAAGCCCAAGAAGAAAAGGTCTTGATTGCATTTGTGGTGCAACCCACAAAATGTGTCTTCAGGAGAGTCTGGCGATTGTCACACCTGGACACAGAGTGCCTGAGGGCTGGGTGATTGCTGCTGATTTATATTATTGCATCAATCTGCGGTGCGGGAAGAACAGTAGTGGGGCGGGGCGGGGCCAGGCTGAGAGAGCCACAGGGCTCAGACGCTTCAGTGGGAATCCCCTGAATTTGGCGACATGCAGACATTCTTCCCATTTAACAGAACACACTTAGTCTAAATGGCCGAAGTTGAATTTTTCACCTTTGGAAACTTCTTGTTACCCCCACCCTCGGAACCTCACTCTTTTTCCCCTTTAAAAGCAGGATTTGCTCCACGAAGAACCATCTGAAGATGGGTCGGGGAGCAGAGAGAAGGCCAGCAAAGAGACAGCAGCTTGGGTGCCCCCAAGCCAGTGCTCACAGCCTCCAGCCCTCCAGTCAGGGCACCCGGCTCTCACCGCCTCATAGAACGCTCTCAGGAAGTTGATCTCGTCCATCAGGGCGTCCACCTTGGCCTCCAGCTCCACCTTGTTCATGTAGGCAGCGTCCACATCCTGAGCACAGAACATGAGATCATCCTGGGGTCTACCCAGGGTTGGCTCGCAGCCCCTGGCCATAACCGCTGGAGCTAGTGGGACAGCCTTGGCCCCATGTAGTATGTATGACCTTCAGGAGTTCCTGTCGGCTGCTCATCGGCCAGAGCCGTATGCAAGGGTCTCCTCTGTCACCTTCCATGGTGAGGACTTTCCATCCTCAATCTCGGGGCTTCCGTTGCCTCTGAGCTCTGCAAGCCTCTCCCCAAAGACCATGTGTGCCCTCCTCCTCACACCTCTGCCCCACCCCCGCTTCCCTTCCCTTCCTCTCCTTGCTGCTGCTCCGTCAATGTAGTCCGTGGTGGTTTTTCCTTCCCTCTGCCGGTCTCAAAGCAGGACAGCCAGACCTCCAGGCTTCTGCTGCCTTGCCTGAAGATTGGCTCTGTGTTCTGAATTTGGAGCTGGGGACCAGGCCCAGCTGGCTTCTGCTCACCCCACATTGCACCATACAAGGAGAGGGGCTGGTGTCAAGGCTCGCAGGGCTCGGACCTGGGAGTCCTGAACCCGGAGCCACCTCTAAGCACCTCTGTACAACAGACTGAGCCTCCCGGACCTCATGTCCTCAAGGGTAAAGTCAGATCTGTCTCCCGGAAGACCAGGACTGCAGTGGGTGTTCCGCCTTCCCCAGGGACTTGTGGTCGGTCTATGAGACCGCCTTTGTGCTCACCTTTTTGAGTATTACAAACTCATTCTCTGCCGCTGTGCGCTTGTGTATTTCCTCTTCGTACCTGTGGGAAGGGCCGAGAAGGAGGGTGTTGGGAGAAGGGTCTGAGAGGGAAGTTAGAATCACTCTCTCTGGCCTGGTGCCTCAAGCCCTCACCACCCTTTGCATATTCGTCTGCTCAGGGTTGGCACAGCGGGGAGGGCACACTTGGGAAACATTGTGTTGCAGTGTGGCTCTCGCACACACATGTGGCCCAGAATCCTAGACCAAACACCCCTACTTCTGTCAAGAGAAAACACAGCCCTATGCTGCTTCCATGTCCCTCAACATCCCAACCACACTGAGCCCTGTCCTGAAAGGTGGGGTCTTCAGACTGTCAGGACTGCCCAGTCCAGCTTCCGTGTTCTTCAGTTTGGCTGTACCCCCTGGCACCCGTGGCATGCTATCGCTCTGCCTGTCCACTGTCCGTTTCCGCTGCAGTGACCCCCTCCCGAGCAGGCTGCCTCAGCACCAGGACATCGCACGCTCCCCGCTCCCCGAGGAAGCCATCTGGGATTCGTGGCTGGGAAGCCGCCTGTGGTCCTGGGAGACTCTTTCCCTTCTCTATTCCTCCAGCCTCCGGGGCAGGGCTGGCATGAAAACACAAACTCTATTAGTGAACACTTAGCTGAATAAACGGGAGGGGAAGTGTTGCCATTTATATAACCTTGGGAAGTGAGCAGACATCTCTGGGCCTGTATTTCCTGTCTGCTGAGGTTAAAGGTTGTTGTATATGGACAAGTCTTTGGACTCATACGGTCATTTCAAACCCCAACATTCTGGACCAAGGGACTGTGCTTCCCCCATCCCCTCCTGTAACCTTTCCTGATGATTTGGTTCCATCTCAGGCCCCGAGTGTGCAACCCATTCCCACCTGTTGGGGCAGTTTGGAGAACAACAGAGCACCTCTTCCTCGAGGGCCTCAGCTCCCCGGACCCCCACGGCAGGGCTCTGGGCCAGATGGACGGAATGCCCACTCACTTATTCTTGAAGTCCTCCACCACGTCCTGCATACTCTTCAGCTCTGTCTCCAGCCTGCCCCGCTCCCCGCCCAGGCACTCCAGCTGGCGTCTCAGGTTGGCGATGTAAGCTTCAAACATGGGCTCTAGGTTGGTCCTGGTTGTCTTGTGCTCCTGCAGGAGGCTCCATTTGGTCTCTAGGACCTTGTTCTGCTGCTCCAGGAACCGCACCTGTCCCGGCCAAAGGTAAGAGACTGTGAGGGCTTCATCGCTTCTCCCACATGCTCTGCGATGTAGGACCTCCCAACAGTGAGGGACCCCGCAGGACCTCAAAGCCCAGGTGGGGGCTTCCCCTTTCTTTCCTTGAGCTTCAAGGAGGCTGAGGAGCAGAGAGGCAATCAGTGTCAGTACCGTGGGCCAGGGAGGCAAATGATAAGTCCAGAGGCGCCAGAAGCCATCTGAACGTACCAACCATGTTGACTTGTGGTAACTTAGGAAAACTGATTCCTAGTTCGTGGGTGGGAGATTTCTGGCAGAACATTCTATCTGTCCATTTCCCTTCTGGGAAGATTTCTCAGCATCTGGAACTTGGACTCAGTGGTCTATCAGCCTAGAAATGCTAGAGTGCGCCACTCTGGAACCGCACTGAGGAGACCAGGCACAATCCTGGCCATGTCTCTCACCAGCCGTTTGACTTTGAGCAATCACTGCCCTTGAGTTCCTCACTGGGTCTCTTGTGGTGTCCAGCTGTTACTTGGTTTCTGGACTTAGCTCCGATCCTGATTCTGGGAACTGTGCATTGCTCGCCCTCAGCCTGAAGTCCTTCCACAGGGAGGGACTGGAATGCCACGTATCCTCCAGGAATGCACAACACCTCCATGCCTTCAGAGACAGCAGTGTCCCTACAGGGGTCTTTAACAAATGTGTCTTTCCCTTGCCACTCCCACTGCGGAAGAGAGAACACCAGGCTCCAAGGCTTCCCGGTCCACCCACTACTCTTGTTCTTTCTGGAGAAACCAGGAAAACCAAAGCCCGGGGTTCCCTCTTCTTAGCCAGGCTCCTGGAAGTCACCGCCTGTTGGGATAATCCAGGCCAGGTACACTGACACAGGTGACAACGCTTAAGAACTGGAGCCGGGCATGATGGCCACGCCTTTATCCCAGCACTCAAGGAGGCAGAGGCAGGCAGATCCCTGTGAGTTTGAGGCCAGCCTGGTTTACAAAGCAAGTCCAGGACAGCCAGGGCTACACAGAGAAACCCTGTCTCAAAAACCAAAACCAAACAAAAGAAATAAATAAAAAGAGCTACCTGAGCGTCTCTGGTTGGGTCTATCTGCCCGGTGGGAGCAGAGCTGCCGAGGGGCCTGAGAGGCCATCTGCCCCACCCTACTGGGGCTTGACTGGAGGGGTAACTGTCCTCTCAGGAGAGTCCAAACTGGAGCCTGACCCCCTCTCGGCTCCACACTGTCCTTCACCCCAGGGATGCAGCCTGAGGGGCCCAGGGCTATGGTGGTGCTGTCTCCCAGCCAAAGCATGAGACAGTGTATAATGGCAGCATGCCCCACAGGCCTCTCTCCCAGAACTGGGGACCTCGAGGAGCTCAATCATACAGCCATTGGGACTGGGTCTCAAGCCACATGTTTCATCTCTCTGCCCATTCAGCTTCTTACACACACACACACACACACACACACACACACACACACACACACACACGCGCACGCTGCCTCCACGGCATGGCAACAGGGCAGTACCTCTGCCTTGGGAGGGCGCTAGTGCTAACGAGCTGGGAGAAAGAAAGGGACCAACAGACTTCCGCGCACTCCCGCATTTGCTCCTTTATCTCCTGCCTTCCCCCCAACTGTCCGGCTGAGCCCACGGTCGCTGACCGCCGGAGCAGCGGTGTCCTTCCATGTTGTGCGTCTGAGAGATCTAGGGCTGGAAGGAGATGGACTCTTTTCACACTGCCTAGGCCCCAGGGGCATGGGTCCCAGGACCTCACGGGGGACGTCAGGAAAGCGCAGAAAGCAGACATTTCAGAGGGCAGCTGCTTTAGCCTTTGAGACCGTGCTGGCCCCTCACCTTGTCGATGAAGGAGGCGAACTTGTTGTTGAGGGTCTTGATCTGCTCCCGCTCCTCCTTCCGAACCCGCTGGAGAGACGGATCGATCTCCAGGTGCAGGGGCGTAAGGAGGCTCTGGTTGACGGTGACTTCATGGATGCCCCCAGCTCCAGGGGCCACCCCACCTCCAAATCCGTACCCACCATAGGCTCCCCCAACTCTGTACCCTATGCCGCTGACGCCTAGCCCACAGGCAGCACCCCCAAAGCTGGCTCGGCTGGAGCGGTAGCCTCCAGAGATGGAAATTCTCTTGCTACCTCCCAGGCTGTGTAGGCTTCTTGTCCCAAAACCACCCCCGAAGCCGCCTCCAAAACTCTTCCCGCTCTGGGACACGGAGACAGAGCTGAAGCCGGGCCGGCAGCCAGAAAGGAGGCTGGCTGAGGAGGCACTGAAGTTCCGTGTGCCCCCAGACTTGATGGTCACTGAGGATCGCTGGGTCATGGTGGAAGTCGGTGTCAAAGGGCAGCAGAGCAAAACCACAACAAGAGCGAAGAGCCTGCAAAGCCTCGCTCGCCTGGATTCACCTCGGGTTTTATCCCCTTCAAGATCGGGGTTTGGCCAGAGTAGATCAAAGACCCCCCTGTTGCGTTCACTCCAATGGCATGTCTGGCCACCGCCCATCTCCCTGCCCGCTAATCGCTGCTGGGGAACACCCTACTCTGGGCAGGACCAGGCCTGGGGAGGCCAGCCTGAGGCAAAGCTGGGTCCAGAGCACCCCACTGGCTCAGGTTCTCAGTTGCACCCCCCCCCCACTCTTGCTTCCATCCACAGCTCTCTCCTCCACGCCTGGCTCCTACACTCTGCGCCCACACACCTGACTGTGTCCGTCCCGTCTTGGTCACTTAGATATATAGATATTTAAAAAATTCATTCACTGAGGGCCGAGTCTGTGCCACCCCCGTGTCTACCACAAACATTATTGCATTTTATTTTTATAGCTTTGTGAAACGGGTGATAAATCATTGCCGGCACTTTTCGCGCAGTATCATGGGAGCGGAACTCCACCTGTTTACCTTTCGGCATTGGCGTTCTTGCCCTTGGTTTTACCTGCCACCATTGGAACCTGGGTCACATGGCTAGGGAATGCTGAGCCGGTGCTAGAAGCCAGTGGCTGAGTGCACTACATGCCCAGAGCCCCTGCACTTAGCAGCTGGGGAAGGTAGGGTCCTTGTCCTTCTCAACAAGTACTAAGAGGTCGCCCGAGATCCCTGCCCTCTGCGGCTGTCCACCCCCATCTTAGCTAGTGAATTTAACATTTATTCTCAGTCTTTTCTCCCTACTCTGAAATCTTAGTCTTAACCATTCTAGACATTGGTCCTTACTTCACTTTCCTCTCTTCTGACTCATGTGCCCTTGAACTTCTCCTTTCCTGATGGACCCCATCCATCCAAACACCTGAACCCCACTCAGGATTGGTCCCACCATCCTCCACAGTCCTGAGGGGAGAGGTCCAGGAGGCTGTAAAGTCAGGAATGAGGAGCTTCCTGGGCGTCTCCCTGCCTAGCAATTATGGGCTCCTTGGCTCCTTGGCCTGGCCTCGGGGCTGGCTTTTAACTCCTCTCCTGCCCTGTTATTTCTCTGCTCAGGTCTGCAAGTTTGAAGCTGTCTGGGGAACAATCAGCTCCTTTGCTGGCCAGGGCCTTGACCACCCATCCTACGTCAGTGCTGTCCCAGGAACACAGGCTGATTTGGGGAGGGGATGGCCTCGCCCTGCATGACATACTGGGCAGGAGGCTGGGCAGGGCTTCTGCCCAGTGGCTGGGACTTCCCAAACAAGCATTCCAAAGAAAAGTGAGAGGAAGTAGGAGCCTTCAGGAGGAAGACTACTGGTCTGCTCCCCCCCACACACCTCACACCCCCCTCTAGGGGGCTGCCTGGGAGTCAGAATTGTTCTGGGCTCATCACCACTGCACACAGAAGGCCGAGCCAAACACATGACACATGCATTTAATAGGCACATTCCAGGAGGACACGAAGGGGCACCGACTCCAGCCGGCAGTTTATAAGCGGCCAGAGAAGGACAAGGCAGAGTGATGTTGAGGTGGCCTGGGAAACAATGACTCCTCCACCTCTGCATCTGGAGGAAAGGGCAGGCGGCATTGAAGGGGCGTTTGTGGTGCCCAGCCCTGGTGAGCCATCTTCTGTGATCTTTGGAGGGGCATGGGCTCTGGGTCTGTGTGTCTAGGAGCAAGCTGGGGGCTGTCAGGAGGCTGCCATAGGCCAGGGGATGGGTTTAGCCAGGACGCCAGGATCCCTGGCAGCAGAGGAGGCTCCTACACAGAGGCCCAGGCACCAGTTACAAGTGCAAGGAGGCTTCAGGCAGCGGCCAGGGAGCCTGCCGGCTGGCCAGCTCAATGCCTGTAGTTCCTCCTGCTGGATGACGTGGTGGAAACAAACTTGATGCTGGAGCCGCTGCCCGCTGGGCCCCGGCTGCTAGTGGTGGTGAAGCCGGAGCCTCCCAGGCCAGTGCCCAGGCTGTGCCCACCACTGGTGGTGAAGGAGTAGCCACTGTTCCCACCAAGACCCAGGCTTCCACCTCCAATGCTGCTGCCACCGCCATAGCCACTGGAAACGGTAGAAGTGACCACAGCTGTGGGGACAGGAGACAGAATCAGAACTGCAGGCAGGAGGGACAGTGCCTGTCATTGGGGCCCCTGCCCTGGAGCTTCTGCAGTGGAGACAGGTGGTTTCGAAGATAAATGCTGGCCCTGCCCTCTCCCACTTGCTTGCTCTGTGGAATTCCGCCTTAGACCCCACCTCTGCGGGGCTGTGGTGTTCTCCTTCAGGCAGAAAAGGCTTTCTGCCTCCCGCCACTCTGTCTGATCCCGTCTCCCTCTTTGGGTTTGACTCTGAGGTCTCCTTCCTTTGGAACGCTCACAGGAACACACAAGGTGTTCCTCTTGAGCCTTGGCGTGGCACTCTAAACCCAGATGGTGGCTCTCCCAGAAGCCTAACACCTTCCTGCAGCAACGCTCCAAGGTAACCAGCTCTCACCAGGCTGCTTGGAGCAGTCGTAGCCACCTCACTGGCCATGTTTGTGTCTAGTTAGTGTAAGGGTTCTCTCCAAAGGGCCTAGGCAAAGCCAGGAGCTTTTGTGTGTCCTGTCTGTGTCAACTGCTCATCTCTCCAAGCTCTTGAAGCTAGACTTGCAACCCCAACCCCTAGGAATTGTGGAGGTGGGTGGAGTGATTGTGATTTTTTTTTTTTTTTTAGAGCTCTCTGAAAGACAATTTCAGGAAGCACCCCATCTGTGCTGTGCTTGGTCCTCTTATCCCAAAGGGAAGAGCTGGAGCCTAAAGACTCTCTCATTAGTCTGGGAACTAGAGGCAGGAAGTCAGGGACTTGAGGCCAGCCTGGGTCCCATGAAACCTGTCTCAAAGGTCGAAAGTCCCTCTAGTTCTGCACCTCTGCTCACTCAGGAGGCTTGGATTAAACTCAGTGGGACATGCACAGGACAGAGCTTGTTGGGAGGAGGAGGAGGTCAGCAGGGCAGGCATTCGTGAGAGTGGTCGGAACTCGGGCAAGGCCCTTGGCTTACCTCCCAACACCACAGTAAGCAAGTAAACGAAGCAAGCCCCTCTCATGCCCCTGACTCTGCCCTCCACTAACTCAGACCTTCTCAGAACAAACCTCGCTTGTGGGGTTCCTGAGGTGGTCTTGCGTCCACCCGTTCTCCCCACCCCATGAGCCCCACCCCACAGGGGCCGTACTCACAGATGTTCACTGGGGAAACTCCCTCTCCGCTCAGCCTGGTTGGGAAGAGAGGAGGGACTGTTACTGCCCAGGTTGTCACCTGGCAGACATTTGCAATGACAAATTTTGTGCTTGGTTTAAGTGCATTAAAAACCCCTCTGTGATTTTTATTGTGGAAGTCATGCACGTTTAAAACTCTACAAATACTTGAAGTACTACAAATAGTAAGGGGGATTGTGGATCCTGATACCTGTAACCTTAGAAGCACAGTTTGGGTTTAAACCAAGCTCCATCAGAAGAAATGAAAACCAGTGACACTGGAGAGGTGGGGCGTTCCCTAGAACCAGATTTCTCTCTAAGGAGGGAGTCTTGTCATGCATCATGGCTACTAAAGCTGTGCAGAGGTGTCCAAATCATGACAATAACAGTAGTTACCATCAGCCTATTGTTGTCGTAGCAGCTGGCATTCATTCCTAAGTGCTCACTCAGAGCTGACATTAACATTTGTTGAGAAGCTATTAGTTCTCCCAATGACCTTATTAGGCATCATTATCACAGTTTTATAGTGGGAGACTGAAGATCAGACAAGGCTAATTAATCTGCTCATGGTCACAAGGCTTGAAACAGGATTCATCTGCCCTCAAAGACCATTCCTTTGGCCACTAACTTGGATGAGAGCAAGGTTCTTATTTCTTGTTTTAGGGGTGTAAAGAGCTAGCCTATGGTAAGAGCCCTTGTACTTAGGTTCCCCCGGCCCTCACGGTGGCTCACAGCCATTTGTATAACTCCAGCTTCAGAGGATCCAGTGCTCTCTGCTGACTGCCATGGGCACAGGCAAAACACGTAGGCACATAAAAGAAATGAACAAATCTTCAAATTATATGAGCATGCCTGTGTGTCAGCATGTGCATCTGAGTGTCAGTGCCGGAGGGGCCAGAAAAGGCTGCTGGATCTTCTGGAGCTTGAATTACAGCGATTATTAGCCACCCAGTGTGGGTGCCAAAAGCCAAACTCGGGGCCTCTGTAGGAACAGCCCCTGTTCTTAACCACTGAGCTCCAGCTCCAGGAACAAAACAAACAACAACAACAAAACAAAACCCCAAATACTTGTTGCACGCCATGAGCTTCGTGACCTAAGATTTTCAAGATGTTGTCCTTTTCTAACCTTTTCAACAACACGTAATGTCAGAAACCACTACCCTCATTCTGCAGATAGGAACACTGGGATACGGGAAGGATAAGTAATCTGCCCTTAGGGCACAGCTGGCAACTGGAGGAATACCAAAATCCTATGAGCTTTGGGGGTTGGGGTATCACGGAATCTAGTCCCCTTTATTCTGCCCCTGAGAAAGTAAAGGCTAGAGGGAGACCATCTTCTCCTAATGAGTGGGGAGCTATAAGCCTAAAAGTCTAGGACAGTTTCTCTTCAGTCCAGAGCCTTTTACCCCACACATCAGGTCTGCCGGGTAACCAGCCCTCTCCTCTAACAGAACGCGACAGCTTAGCCCTTTCTGTGGGGTGCAGCTGGAATGACTTAACAGTCTGGAAAGAGACTTGCGACTGCTCAGCGCCACAGTGCAGGCTGCTGGGTAAGTTTTGTTTGTCCTGAGAACCCACTGGTGATGCCCCCCACCTGCACTCCTCGCCCTCCAGCAGCTTCCTGTAGGTGGCGATCTCCACGTCCAGGGCCAGCTTGACGTTCATGAGCTCCTGGTACTCGCGCAGCAGCCGGGCCAGGTCCTGCTTGGCCTTCTGCAGGGCATCTTCAAGGTCCACCAGCTTGGCCCGAGCATCCTTGAGGGCCATCTCCCCGCGCTGCTCAGCGTCAGAGATAGCGGTTTGCAGGCTGGCGCACTGAGAGAAGAGGGGGTGCCATGAGTCTGGGCACAGACCCTAGAGGGGTGCCATCCCTGAGCATGAGTCCTTGGAGGTGGGGGGGGGTAGAAAGGAGCCTTCTTGCCTGACCGAACCGTACCTGCTTCTTGACGGCATCGATCTCAGACCTCAGCCGCTGGATCACCCGGTTCATCTCCGAGATCTCCTGCTTGGTGTTGCGGAGGTCGTCCCCGTGCCGGCCTGCCGTCACCTGCAGCTCCTCATACTGTTGGAGCCAGAGCAGACATGGCTAGTCAAACGCCTGTGTGCCAGGAAGGCCACGCACTCGCCCCTTCCCTCTCTGTTTTCCAAGATGTTTTCTCCTGAGCCCATCTGCCTGCAGGGGAGGCGGCAGGCTTCATCAACAGCATGAGCACTTGCTGGTCCCGGTTCCCGGAAGCTTACACTCTTTATCCCTCAGCGTGTATCCAGACAGAGAAGTGGCCCATGGTGACCAGAGGGCCGCAAAGGAGTCCAGCCTGGGTTTGAAAGTGTGTGTGGAGGGGAGGGAGGTGGAAGGAGAGAGAGCCTCTGATGGGGAAACTGAGCTGCCATCCGCAAGATGGGTGAGAGGGGCCTACGGTCAGCTCAGAGAGAGAGAGCTTTCCAGGCCGGGAAAGGCCCGTGAGATACCCCTGAGGTGTGGGGATTGATGATAGGCCATCACTGCGGGCTGGGGTCTGGCTTGTATCACTGTGCCCATGAGCTCAGGTAGCCTTGCAGACATCGGGGTTGGGAACCAGGAAGGAAAGGCAGGAAGCCTTTCGGATGCTGCAGAGGCTGAGGAAGGCTAGGTACTGGCGCGGCAGAGCCCCTCCCTGTCTCTGTGGGGCTCAAGCTAACCCTAGCCAGGGCATCGCTTGTTTTGGAGGGAACCGCTGCACCCTGCCTCCTCCAGCCCACTCTCCATTCCATCTGGAAAGTGCTGGACAGCTCTGCTACCTCTGCTTCGGGATTCTCAGGTCTGGAGGGAACACCATCCCAACAAGGCTGGGAGATGTCTGTTGCCAGTTTCACTTCCTGCTGGGGCCGAGTGTGCCCTCACTCTTGCTCGCTGTCGAGCAGCTGCACTGGGGACCCTTGACAACTGTTTCTTCTCTGCCACACTCCTTACCAGAAGGGATGCAGCGCTCAGGGCAGGACAGAGGATGAGGCTCAGAGGGCGGTGAGCAGATGGCCCGGGACAGGCCTGGGTTTGGCAAAGGGATGACTCTGGGTCTCCTAAACTGTTCTAGGGCGTCCAGGCTTTCACGCTTCTTCACGGTCATTCCAGCCTCCTCCTGCTGCATGGGGGTGTGTTCTTCCCGTCTGTCTGCCCCTCAGCTTTAAACCCCATCTCGTCCTTCCAGTTTCTCCTTCTCTGGTCACCGGCTGCGCTGCCAAAGACTGCTGGGGGCTCTCTGGGGATGCTGTCTCATTCCCTTCTGTGGAGCCCACCCACGTTCTGGACTTTCAGACCTGTATTCTCTGCTTACAGTTTCTGTTTTTACAACTCTAAAGCTCCGTGTTTGGCAGAGTGGAGAAGCCCAGAGCTTACATGAAGAATTCGTAAGCCCTTTAGAACTACGATGCACTACTTGGTCATTTTGGAGTCTCGACCAGTCCACTCTATTGTGGGTAGCGTGGGGACCATGCCTGTCCTTTTGAGCACCCAACACTCTCTGGGAAACACAGTGTATGCTTAGACCTCCATGCATATTTTAATCTAGCTCTTCCTGGTATCAGAGCTGCAGAGTGAGAGAAGTGACAAGGTGTGGCCTAGCACATGCATCCTGGTGTAGCACTCACCTTGGTCTGGTACCAGGATTCAGCCTCTGCCCGGCTGCGGTTGGCGATATCCTCGTACTGCGCCTTGACCTCGGCAATGATGCTGTCCAGGTCCAGGCTGCGGTTGTTGTCCATGGAGAGGACCACAGAGGTGTCGCTCACCTGGGTCTGCAGCTGGGACAGCTCCTGTAGGGTGTTAACTTAGCGTCACCCAGAAACGAAAGGAAGGGAGCCTGTGCGTCTGCGGTGAGTAACTACTTAGGCTAAGACTCCCTGCTCTGGTGTCCCTGGCAGAAATCCTTCAGGTGCCCCTCCCCTCCCCCAGCTGTGTCATCGTGTCAGGGGTCACAACCCTGTCCCTGGAAGTTTCTGGCTGACTCATCAGTGTGTTGCTGGAGCTGCTCTCTCTGTGTTCCATTGAGGCTTTCCACTGGTGGACGCCATTGAAACGTGTGGGTTCCCATGCCTCATAGAGCTGCTCTTCAGGATTGGATGACCGTGCCATCCCACCCCCAGCGTGATGCCATCACTGCCTTCCTCTGTCTCTCCACAGACCCAGGTATCTGCCTTCCACAGATCCCTGAGCGAGGCCTCTTCAGAGGCCAAGAAGCCATCTGGCCAGTGTGTTGAGCTATAGCAGAGGGAGAGAGCAGGCAGTCTTCATTCCTAGAATATGGGAACAAGCATTTTCCCTCTTGGGCCATTTGTGTGGAGAGGCCTCAGAGCTGAAACTGTTTCTTGTGTCAAAGTTCCCAGCAGGCCTCTCAGGTACCGTCTTTCCCCCAGGGTCCCACTTAGGGTTCCTGGGGGAGAGATACCAGCTCCACTCACTAAGTGATTGACACCCTGAAGAATCCTTTTCGTTCTAGACTCTGGTGCCAGGAACAACAGAAACACTTGCAGACTCTTACCGCCTCATAGATCATCCGGCAGAAGTTGATCTGGTCAGTCAGGGCGTCCACCTTGGCCTCCAGCTCCACCTTGTTCATGTAGGCGCCGTCCACGTCCTGCAATGACCCGGGTCCAAAGAGCAAGTCAAAAGACGCTGAGAGTAGCTGGCCTGGATTTCTGGTTGTGGGGGTGTTGGGATGGGTGATCACTGACATGGGGTTTAAGCTTCTTGGGCTAACTGAAACCTGAGCAGGAGTAGGGCTGTCGGTACAGGGGTTGCGTGCTGGGAGGTTTGAGCTCATCGGATGATCCCATCATCCATGTGATATTTCTCCAGTGCTCCCAGGACCAGGTTACCTCACATTCCAAGATTTAACGTTAAATCTCAACCTCTCTTCTCCCCTCCGCCTCCTTCCTCCTCCTTTCTGAAGCGCCTTCTCCCCACCTCTCGAGGCTGGCTCTTGAACTCAGGGCTTGTTGTGTGCAGGATAAGCTCTGCCCCTGATCTGTGTGCCCAGCCCTCCTTTCTCTGAGGTGTGGTATCACTGGGCAGCCTAGGCTGGCTTCAGACACCCCTCTCCCGCTTCTGCCTCCTGGGTGCGGGATTGCAGGCTTGGAGCTCACTCTCACGTGAGAGTCACCCCTACTCACCTTCTTCAGGCCCACAAACTCATTCTCCGCAGCTGCACGCCTGTTAATTTCATCTTCGTACCTGCAAGGATGAAGGCAAGGGGGTGTGAGATTGGGCAAGGTTCCACCTGACTCTCCTGCTGCTGGAGCTAAAGACAGCCCGTTCTTCCCAGCTCTGCGGTGACCTGCACATGACTTTAGGTGATTCACTTAACCTCTCTCTCTTCCTCCATAAAATGTAGATAATTTCTTCTGCCAGTTTAAAAAACCAATTACAAGATTAGAAGGTGAGCACAGCCTTATGGGGATAGAATCACGGGCGTGGGCAATTGTTCTCATCACCAAAAAAGTGTGCGCTGCCTCAGCGGGGCCTTCTGAACTTGCAAAGAAAACTATGCCTGTCCAGGACAGTCTTTCTGGTACATTTTGAAATATTTTCACTGGGCCTCAGGGTGACCATTGAGCATTGTGATTTTGTGATTAAGTTGAGCTCAAGCTAGCTCAGCTTAAGGGCTTGTTCGGACCACTGCACTGTAGCCCAAGCAGTGGACAGTCAGTGTTTGCCTCTGCAGGGAAGACCAGAAGTGGACAGTCAGTGTTCACCTCTACAGGGAAGACCACAAGCCCTCCCTCACCCCGAGCTCTTGCCATCTGGGAAATTCAAGCTGCCTCGGGCCCCGGGCTCATGTCCAGCAGAGATAAACAGCACGCTGGCGGCTAAGCAATACCGTTTACCAGGAGCAACGCTGTTCCTTTTGACAGGTGAGCTGGTGCCCACTTCAGGCGAGTAGACAGAGAAGAGCAGGCTCCTTGTTAACCCGCTGCTGAGATGGAGGTCACTGTCACCCTGCGCGCCCTTCCTTGCTGCTGCACTCAAGGCCGCTCATGCAGCACTCCCGGCTGATGCGACATTCACTGTGGACCCTGCGGATGGTCGTGGTAGCCAGAAGCCTGCCTCCCGCTCACCTGACTTTGAAGTCTTCTACAACCTCCTGCATGTTCCTCAGTTCAGCGTCCAGCCTGCCTCGCTCAGCAGTGACGCCGTCCAGCTGCCGGCGGAGGTCACTGATGTATGCGTCGAAGAAGGGCTCCAGGTTCTGTCTGACGGTCCTAGAGCCCTGCTCCTGCAGCAGCTCCCACTTGGTCTCCAGGACCTTGTTCTGCTGCTCCAGGAAGCGCACCTGCCGGGGAGCAGAGAGGGTGAGCATCATAGGAGAAACCAGGGGGGCAGAAGCAGGCGCTCCTGCTCACAAGGGAGGAAAGCAGGAGGCTTGTTCCGCCCTTAGCCAGCAGCTATGCAATGACCACTCCACCTCCAAAGTGAGAACACCCATGGAGGCACCCAAAGGACTAGTCATGGACTGGACATGGGGGGCAACAGAGGGAAGACAGTGGGAGGCTTGGAGTCTGGGTTGAGCGTCTCAGTGCTGCTTCTCCGGGTCGGGGTAGCTGGCACAGTTTCAAGCCCTCTTTCTGAAGGGGACTCCCAGAGAGGACAACGGGGGCATCTGTATAAGGTCCCGTGGGCCAGATGGCCGGACTTGAAAATGTGTGTGTCCATGGCTGGTACCGGTTGATGGATGTTCTCCCGGGGGCCCCGCATTGCTGCTGTCTCCGAAGCGGAGCCCTCCCCACCTAGGAACTCGGAGGGGTGGGCGCAGGCCTCACCTTGTCGATGAAGGAGGCGAACTTGTTGTTGAGGGTCTTGATCTGTTCCCTCTCCTCTTTCCGTACCCGCTGGATGCTGGGGTCGATTTGTAGGTTTAGGGGAGCCAAGAGGCTCTGGTTGACGGTGACCTCTTGAATGCCTCCAGGGGGGTAGACGGGGAAGCCAGGGCCACTGAAGCTCCCTCCAATGCCTCCCCCATAACCAAAGCCACTGCTGCCCCCAAAGCCATTAGCCCTGGCACCAAAGCAACCCCGGAAGGCACTGCCAGCGCATCCACCAGCAGAGAGCCGCCTGGTGCCCCCCAGGTTGTAGAGGCTGCGGCTCCCAAAGCCCCCACCGGCACCGCTGATCCTGCTCAGTCCCCCACTGTTTCCTGAGGAGCGGGCCACAGAGACAGAGCTAAAGCGGGGGCGGCCAGCGGTTGGGGTGGTGGCCGAGGCCGCGCTGAAGCCCCTGCGGCTGCCGGAGTGGAAGGTGAAGGTGGATTGCCGAGACATGACGGGAGAAGAAGGCAGGCACAGGAGCTCCCGAGGTAGAGGTAGATGCGCAAAGAGGATGGAGAAGCCAGGCAGTTAGGGAGGAGCAGGCCCGTGGGCTTATATGGGCCCCACAAAGGGCGGGGCTTTATTAATGAAGGGGGCCCTGCTGATGGCATCCCCTAGGTATCTGCCAGCCCTGAGCTCACCCTGAGTGCCCCCCATCCCCCGCAGAAAACGGCAGCGTTTAAAAAAAAAGCCACTGGTTGGTTTGCCGCCTTCCCCTCCCCCGTGGGGAAACTTCTTTCTAGTTGTGACTTGATCAGCAGACCAGTGAGAAGCGACTTAATTGCTTTCAGTCATGTCCTAGTCATGCATCTTTTAATGGACTCAAAAACACTGCCTCATATCTTGAACCGCTTTCTTAGGCCCGGGACCAGCAGCCTCCAGTCCAAACATCTTGTGTCAACACAAGCGAGTGCAACACACCGCTTCCTGTCCCTTTCTGTGCTTCTTATGTCTAAGCGTTTTCTCAGCAGCTACTGAACCCCATCAGGCTGGTCCTCCAGGTCTGCGTTCATTCTCCTCAGGCTTCCATCCACGTGTGCTGTGTGTCCCATGTTGTTTCCTGGAGCACGCGTGTTAGTGTGCACAGCCATGTATGTCATGTCTGTGCCGGTGTTTGTCTTTCAGGTTGGCATTCCGTCTTCTGTAGACTAGTGGGAATAGAAAGACTTGGGTCTGCATTCTGGCATCTTGGTGGCCAGCAGTGGGGCCTTGGCCTCATCATACAGCTTTTCTGAGCTTCGGTGCGTGTCTATGAATTATGACGCGTATTCACGTATGAAAAATTCTGTCACAGTGCCTCAATCACGTCAGTGTCCACTGTGTCATTCTCCTGCAGATAATTCAGCACTGATGACCACGTCCATCCTAGAGCGAGCCCTGCAAGGATTCCAAAGAAGCACCATACACACTCCTGATCTTTAAAAGTACGATCAGGGTTCTGCTGGGAAGACGAACCTGAAGCATGCTGGGGAACTCTGAACGACATGGTACACATCAAGCTGCCTTCTTCTGGAAGTCTCCCAGGCTATTCCCTTCTGAAGACCTGTGTCCCCCAGTCTTCCCTCTCTCATCAGGACAACTCCAAACAACACTTACCGGAGAAGCCCCCATGCTCACATACTTCACTTGACAAATTAAAATTGTTGTTGTTGTTGTTATAATTGTGTGTGTGGAGGTCCGATGACAGTTTTCAAGCGCTGGTTCTTTCCTTCGACTGTGGGATCCAGGGATGTAATTCAGGTCATCAGGCTTACCTGTCAGGCACTTTGACGCACAGGGCTGTGTAGTCAGCCCCTCACTCACCTTCCTACCCTACATACCGCATTAGGCAGGGATGCACAGGGCGTTTGCAGTGTGCCTCACCCTCTTTCTCCCCGTATCCCTCTCCCTGTCTCTGCTGTGAGGTGTATGGCAGATGGTCAGTCCTCCTTGGTCTTGCTGTCCGCCTGCTTCATGCTGTGGTTTCGAAGGGTTGGAGAGGAAATGACAGCAAGGTGTTCAGACTTCATATCTGGCTAAGGAAACAAGACTCCTAACAGCTCATTTAGAGGCAGGCTTGTACAGCCTGGTATGTGGGAAGCAGAGAACCAGGAGCTGTGGTCTTTCTGTGCAGGTGTCCTTTGGGAGGCCCATGGTGCCTGGCTCATGCTCTCACCTGCCTGGAATGGCAGCTTGGCACTCAGAACTGGTCTCTGTCCTGGGAGCCATCTCTTACCTGGAGCCCTGACCAAGGGCTGGCCTCTCCTCTTGTTGGGGTTGGAGACTCCTTGTTTCTACAGGAGCCCGTGAATCACAGCTTTTGTTGACACAGGCCAGGCAGAGCATAGATGTTCACGCTTTTGCCCATGTACCTAGGTCTCGGCTCGGCTGGCACATGCTTGCTTTTGCCCGTGGAAAGAATAAACATCTTTGTGTTCTTTGCTTCTCTGTGTGTGATAGCCTGTCTCTCAGAGGAAGGGACGCTGGTTTGCTTCCTGAGCACTCTGAGGAAACTGCAGGTCCTTCTGCAGAGCACAGGCTACAGCCAGGCAAGCAGCCAGGGCTCGGGCACCCAGCGTGGGACCTGCCCACAGAGGGAATGCAAGCGGATGTCTTGGCCTATGTCAACTCAAGGTTGACATCACCTTGGCCCTTCCTTCCTTTCTCACAGGTTCTCCTGACATCCCATTTTCTCTAGCATGGCTGTATTGTTTCCTACCCACGACCACCTCTATCTGGGGTAATTCACCCTTTTTCCTCCCTGTCTAACATTCCCATCAAGGTGGCGGCTGTTCAGGCTAGGCGGTCTCGCTCACGTACATTGGGAACTAAACGGGGGTCGCCCCCTCAGTCCTCTTCCTCTTCCTTTTCACCGACCTTTACTTGACTTGATGGTGAGCCCCTCAGGTGGGTGGCCCCATTATCCCCTTTATTTGTATAATTTTATTTTCATTGTGTTGGCGATCTAGTGCATCCTAAGCTTGCCCCATATGCAATCTCAAAACATGTTGACTCTTTTTGTAAAACAGTGTTTTTATTTATTTCTTGAACATTTCGTTAATGCATACAATGTATCTTGATCATATCTTCCCCTGTGCCATACTCCTCTCCAACCTACTTCTTATTGAAGAGAGACCACATTTTATTCTAGATATAGATCTCAGTAACAACAAAATGCCAAAAGTTGGTCATTATAATAGAAGAAAAGGGTAACAGTAGTTTGCTTTATTTTTTTTTCCCCTTGAAGCTCCTACCTACTTTTAATGCTTTTCCTCTTTGCTTTCTACCACAAGAAAGTTGTCTTGGTGTTTAAATAATGGATCAGTCTGTTATTTATTTATTTGTGTGTGTGACTTGTGTGGGTAACGTGTATTCTCCCAAGTACGTGTGCATGTGGAGGTCAGAGGTCAGCCCTTGGGTGTTGTTTCTCAGGAGCCAGCCACCATATTTTCTCAGACAAGGTTTCTCACTGGGATCTGGTCCTCACGATCAGGCTAGGCCACCTGGCCATCAAGCTCCAGAGTGCACTTGTTGCTGCTTCCCCTGTGCTGGAATCACAACCAGGAGCCTCCACATTGGTCTTATGTGGGTTCTGGGGACTAAACTCAGGTCTTCAGACTTGAGTGACAACTATTTCCCAGCCCTCCCCACCCCACATGACTTTCTAACTTCCTTTGCAATTAGTTAAAAGTTAACCTCCAGGAAACCTCAGGAAAGTTAGGGCCCAGTGCTAACTCCTTTCTGCCTGTGCCACGGAACACCTGCACGTCCGTGTGTGAAGCTTCTACACCTGTGCCATGAACACCTGCACTTCCGTGTTGGGCTGTTTTGGTGGTCTGGATCTTGTCGCATCTCCGGGGTTTGGGGTGCTTCTTCCCCCCAGTGTGTCTCTTCAGATCCTTAGAATGGCAGCAAGAGTTCACCTGGCAGTTCAACTGCTGCTAACACTGTCTGGGGGGGTCTCTGCCCTGCCCATTATCACCCAAGCCACATGGAAGATCCAGGGGAAGGGGCAGACAACGAGTGTAGCTACACACAGGCACGTGTCTCAGGTCTGAGCTTCATCAGAACACCGAGATCCACTGACATAGTTATGAGAGAGCAATTGTCATTGCTGGGCACAGGTACAACGGGGAAAGCTGAGCCTTTAGAGGCAGACTGGTGTCGCCCAGTAAACACACCAAACACCGGGGAAGTATGGCCATCCTCACCCACAGGCAACCGAGAAAAATGTTTCAAGTCTGGGAGTCCTCATCCCTCCAAAACAGAACTATCTCCTCCAGACTCAGCCCTGCAGAATATGCCTCCTGGGAGGCTCAGTCTGACACCCTCTCCAAATGGCCTCTGCTCCTCCTCTTGCAGCAATAGCTCCAGTGGAAAGGGCTCTGTCTGCTTTACCCCAAGCTCTGCCTCTCAGACTACAATAGTGAGCAGTTGGCACATGATAAGCGTCGTTGAATGAGGAACCTCAAACGATGGGCTAGGTGGCTGTGGCTTGGGTCCTCTGATGCCCCAGGAATGGCCTGCTCTCAGGAGAAAGGTTCCTCCTCTGCCCTGGCCTGGTTGAAAGCCAACGCTCTTCAGTATACTCTCAACTCCTCAACCCTTAGGAGGCCTGTCTCCTTGCCTTCCTATCCTCCTCCCTGATGCCTCCACTCTGCAGAGGGCCTCAAGTTCCCCTGAGGATGACAGCAATCAACCTAAGCCAAAGAGGCAGGTGTGAGGAAAATCTCAGGTCTGAATACCAGAACATACAGGTGTCCTTAGGCCCAGCACCCAGACCACAAGAAAAGCCTCAGTAAGATGGTCGGAGAGCAGGAGGAACCCTCTCAAGCCCCGAACACTAGATATGAGAGAAGAAAGGATAGAGAGGAAAGGGGAGACATTATCCTCAGACTACTTCCTGCTGGTTAGGGTCCGAGTCCTTGGGGCAAGTTTCGTCTTCACCGTCAGGACATCTAATTTCTTCTTGTTTCTTCTTTGCATGTGACTATGCAATAATCAAACGACAGCCCACAACCCACCCCACCCCTCAGAGCCCCAAGCATTTACATACCCCCTGAAAAGTCCCTAGAAGTCCAAACTCACACACGTGCAGAAACTATTTACAGCTGGCAAAATTACGCCCCTGCTAGAGCCTGAGGCAAATCATAGTCACCTGCTGTGAAGCAGCCTTATGCCCCCATGCCGGGGATAAAAATGAAAACATTTCCCCATAATATTTGTGTTTTTAAAGAAACCAAAATTCTAACTACAGGAACGTGCTGGTGAGTGGGCGCAGCAGCAAAGGCCCAGAGTCGGTCTTTTAGAGCCTGGAGAAGCTGTGCAAAGACTCGTGGGGAATCCCAACACCACCAGCCACTCGGCAGCTCGGCCACTTACTATTATTCTTTCTGTTGTCCCTCATATGCCTAAGCCCCCCCTTGCCCCATAGATCACAGAGGTACAAACTCTCTGTGGTCTGTGACACGGTT